GGGCAAAGACCCAGAGACTGGAGCATGCTGGGGTGACTGAGGAACCGCAAGAAGGCCATACTGAGCAAGGGGGTAGAGGCAAGGGAATGAGGTTAGAAAGGAGATGGTCAGGGGTATGGGCCGTGTAAGGCCCTGGCTATTGGGAATACGTATGTGTTTATGTGTATGACTTTTTTCCTTAGTCATTAATTATTTGGTTTCATGTCAATTACCTAACCCTCTATCTGTAGTTTCTACATCCTTCAGTGATTGGGGAAGAACCTTGGCTTTCTCATCTTAAGTCTTCCCTGCTTCTGTATTATTTCTGGGTAGGAAAAATGTGTCTAAGGAGGAACATGCAATTGACATATGTGTGCCAAGGTAAGCCTGAGCTGTTGGACAATGGTTCTTCGATAAACAAAGACTCCCAGACCCAGAGAAAAGACCCCTGGACCCAGAGGCCACAGTGTTCTGGGTGCAAATCCCAGCCCGGGCTGCTTTACCCACTATATGGCCTGGTGGCGTCCCCAGGCTGCAGCTTCCACTCTGTAACATGGATAAGGGGCTTTCCTGGCCCTAGTTCTCTTTATCCCTGTACAATCTCTCATGTCTGAGAAGTCAGAACCCAGCAAACTGCAGTCAGTGGTCTTTGGCACCTTCAATTTTTCTCTTTAAGCTGCTCTGAGGTGCAAAGGAAACCAGTCATTAAAGAGAATTATGTCCCAGGCAGTCTGAGCATGTGCTAATTTACTAGTTAGAAGCTGGAAAACAATTCCAGCCAGATGGAGGTGCCCTGCCCCTGTTATCAGCCACCAAACTGTTGACATTTTATTTCTCAGAGGGAGACTGTGCTGTAAGATACCAGAAGGAGAATAAGGGTTCTTTGCTACCCTGCCTCAAACTCTTAAATATTTTCAAATGCTTAAAACAGACTCACAAACAAAAACCCTCCCAGATAGGCACTCTTAATATATCTGTGAAATTATGTTCCAAAGGGGAGATGTGCTTACAATTTGCAAGATTAGAACATCTCACATCAAGTAAAAGGTATAAATCTGAATCCCAAGCCCCAGTTCTCACTAATTTTTCGGTTTTAAAGGAAAAGCATCTTTGATATCTTCTTAATGCAACAGCACCCTGCCAGCACCTGCTGGGGTGCTGAATTGTCAGGGTTCCAAACACCAGCTGCCAGAGACCCCCCTCATCCTGACACTTCTCATTTACTTCTCACGTAAATCCCATTGAATAGACTCAAGCAAATTTGATCAATCATAGATAACATGAGTACATACTTATAATATACCAGGCATTGTTCTAAGCATATTAATAATCATCACTGAAACTTACATAGCATTTGTCATGTGTCAGATGCTGCTTCAAGTGCTTGGTATATAAATACATGTACTGCATTCTATAGTAGCCTTATGAGGGTCCATGAACATCTACATTTTGCGTTTGAGGAAACTGAGGCTCAGAGAAGCTGAGTAAATTTCTTGACACCCTTCAGAGTGGTAGATTTGGGTTTCAAACCAAGACAGTCAGGCTCCAAGCTTCGAGGACAATATTGCTCATATGGTTTGGCTCTGTGTCCCCACACAAATCTCATGTCAAATTGTAATCCTCAATGTTGGAGAAGGGTGGGAGGTGATTGAATCATAGGGGAACTTCCCCTTGCTCTTCTTGTGATAGTGAGTTCTCACGAGATCTAGTTGTCTAAAAGTGTGTAGCACGTTCCCCTTTGCTCTCTCTCCTGCTCCACCGTGTGAAGATATGTCTGCTTCCCCTTCACCTTTCACTGTGATTGTAAGTTTCCTAAGGCCTCCCCAGCCATGTTTCCTGTGTAGCCTGAAGAACTGTAAGTCAGTTAAACCTCTTGTCTTCATAAATTACCCAGTTTCAGATAGTTTCTTATAGCAATGCGAGAACAGAGTAATACAATTACATAGGTTGAAGCCATCTCCCATGCAACTACAGCTTTTGCTTTGTGGCTGGGAAGAGGACTTACCTTTACCAAGTTCTTAACCGTTGTCAGGGACTATACTAGGATGGATATATACTGTGTTTTTATTTGAATCTCCGAAAAGCTGTATAAATAAAGCAAATATTTGCATGAGAAACCCAAAGTTCATAGCTTGGGTAACATTCCTGGAGCCCCACAGCCACTCAGGGGTAGGGCTGGAATTTGAACCAAGGTCTTGCGGAACCCAAAAGTTCACTAAATAGGGTTTCTTTCTAATAGAGTTGTTCTAATACTCCAGAGATCCTTTGAGGACATTTCTTACACGTGGTCTCAAGTGTTCATACAAATATTTATTGGGCACGGACTCCATGCCAAGCACTGAGATAAATGCTAGCAATTCAGTGTGGACCAAAACAGACACAGCCCCTGCCCTGTGGAGTCCAGCGCAAGGACTGTTGTTAAACATAGGGTGAATTATTTCATTTTAAATTGCCAAATGTGCTATTAAGAAAAACAAGAGGCTGGGCACGGTGGCTCAAGCCTGTAATCCCAGCACTTTGGGAGGCCTAGATGGGCGGATCACGAGGTCAGGAGATCGAGACCATCCTGGCTAACACAGTGAAACCCCCGTCTCAACTAAAAAATACAAAAAAACTAGCTGGGCAAGGTGGTGGGCGCCTGTAGTCCCAGCTACTCGGGAGGCTGAGGCAGGAGAATGGCGTAAACCCAGGAGGCGGAGCTTGCAGTGAGCTAAGATCCGGCCACTGCACTCCAGCGTGGGCAGCAGAGCAAGACTCCGTCTCAAAAAAAAAAAAAAAAGAAAAAAAAAGAAAAACAAGAGGGAGGCTCTAATTTGGCTGGGGGAGTAGGGGCAGGAATACCTGCTTTAAACATGCAATATACGCTGAGCCTTGAAGGATGAGGCAGCATTTGCAGAGGAAGATTGAAGTAGAAGTGCATTCTAGGCAGAGATAGCAGCATGTGCAAAGGCCCTGAGGCAGAAACAAACTTGGTGCTTTGAGGAATGAAATAGTTAGTAGAGCTGTATTAGTACTGATAGGGCCTAGGTCACAGGATAATGTTAGAGAGGTGTTGGCAGGGCAAGGTGGCTCATGCCTATAATCCCAGCACTTTGAGAGACTGAAGCAGGTGCATTGCTTGAACCCGAGAGTTTGAGACCAGCCTGGGCAACATAGTGAGATCCTTTCTTTACAAAAAATACACAAATTAGCTGGCCATGGTGATGTGCACCTGTAGTCCCAGCTACTGGGGAGGCTGAGGTGGGAAGATTGCTTGAGCCCAAGAGGTTTCAGTAAGCCATGATCATGCCACTGCACCTCAGCTGGGTGACAGAGCAAGACCCCGTCTCAAACAAACAAACAAAACAAGAACCAAAAAACATTAGCAAGGTGAACTTCTTGGGGTTCAGCCAAGGACCACTAGCAGGCAATATGAGCTGCAGGCTCAGAACCAAGCCATGAAGGTGAGTGGGTTAGAGAGACTGACCTCAGAGAGACAACCCTTCCATACCCATACTAGCCCTTTCTTCACCCCTGATCCTCCCTGTCACCTTGATTCAGCCCCTGGAACTTTAAAGTCTCCCTGCCTTTCGGCTGACTTCATCTGACCCATGTCAGCTACCACAACCTTCTCTTTAAAGCTTTCAGGATAAAATTAAGATGTCTTCAGGTGAGCACATTACCCTTTTTGTGGTTTGGGGTCTGCCCACCTCTCTGACTCTCTCCATCTTCTCTATCCCACAGAATTGAAGTGCCACCATGAGATCCTGTAACCCCTTGCCTTGTACTGGTTGATGATTTGACAGATTATGTCAAAAATCCTTCCTCAGCTTAAGAAGCTTTTGGGCTGAGACTATGGGGGTTTTCTAGATACATAATCATGTTGTCGGCAAACAGGGATAGTTTTACTTCCTCTCTTCTTATTTGAATGCCATTTATTTCTTTCTCTTGCCTGATTGCCCTGGCCAGAACTTCCAATACTACAATAGGAGTGGTAAGAGAGGGCATCCTTGTCTTATGCCAGTTTTCAAGGGGAATGCTTCCAGCTTTTGCCCATTCAATATGATGTTGGCTGTGGGTTTGTTATATATGGCTCTTACTATTTTGAGGTGTGTTCCTTTAATACCTAGTTTATTGAGAGAGTTTTTAACACCATGGAATACTATGCAGCCATAAAAACGTACAAGATCATGTCCTCTGCAGGGACATGGATGGAGCTGGAGGCCATTTTCCTTAGCAAACTAACGCAGGCACAGAAAACAAAATACTGCATGTTCTCGCTTATAAGTGGGAGCTAAATGATGAGAACACATGGACACGTAGAGAGGAACAACACCCTTTGGGGCCTGTGTAGATGGTGGAAGATGGGAAGAGGGAGAGGATCAGGAAAAATAACTAACAAGTATAAGACTTAATACCTGAGTAATGAAATAATCCATAATACAAACCCCCATGGCACACATTTACCTGTGTAACAAACCAGCCTCTGTACCCTTGAACTTAAAATAAATGTTTAAAAAAGGGCAGAAGCATACAGTGAGGTAAAAGGAATAAATTCAAGGTTTGGTAGCAGAATAGGATGACTATGCTTAGCCGAAAAGTATTGTACTTAGGTGATGAATGCCCTGAATACCCTGACTCGATCACTGCACATCATATACACGTAATGAATTTTCTCATGTACCCCATACACTTGCATCAATAAAAAATAAATAAAATGCAGTGCCTTTGAAGATAAAATTTAAAAATCTGTCCTTGCTCTAAAAACCCAAGAAAGAAATGCAAACTCTCTGTTTTGATAACAGACAAGACAGGGTTACATTTTTCTCCTTTTGAGCAAACCAGCGTTCTGTAATCCTGCTTGGCCATTGCTCAATGAAGAGTCCTATGTGAGCTGTATGTCCATTTCACATTCATTAGATCCATTTGCCTCTAGTTAGGGAGACACATCCTTAAAATGGTGGCTTTAGGAAGCTTCCCGCAGAGTTTCTTTCGTGTGGCAATGTGTGTAGCAGGTATGCTGAGCTTCTGTTTCCTTCCAGGAGAAGGAGAAGGGGCACTTACCCAGGAGTACCGAACACTCTCAGCCTGCTCTCTTGGTCTCCTTCATGTCTGGTGAGTAACTGACAGTTTCCTGATTGCTTTATAAAGGAGACTTTCCAAGGGAAGAAAGCAGCGTATATTAAACTGAGAACCCAGAAGGCAGGAGGGTGGCAAGAGACTTTGAAACGATCTCTGAGTTGTAAATGCAGGATCTTAAAGAGACTGTGGAATTACATCATCTGAAGAGTAGCATGCTGACTGAATTATTGGTGAGTGCATGTGTATTCTCGCTGCTCAGGTGACCCTTGGCAGCCTACACTACCCAGCTAAAGGACACAGAAATTCCACTGTGAGAAAAGAAGAAAAAGAACTCTTGAGTTTTGCTGCAAAACTTCCAGCATGCCTTTTGTCCCAGCAGCCAGACCTTCTGGCCTTCTGACCTAGCTCTCATTGGCTGTGAAGAGTTTTCAGTGGAAACTTTTGAACCCAGAGGGCATTTTCACACTGCCCCCCGCCCCAACCCCATGGCAGTGTACTCTTTGCCTCTCATCTGACTTCTCCTTACTGCTCACATCTGAACTCTGCCTCTTGACTTTTATCTCCTTTTGCTTCCCCATGGCCACTGGCTTAGTTCAGTGTTTAGCATCTTTCAACTAGATTACTGCTATGGCCCTCTGTCTGACCTTTTTCCTTTGTTGTGATTTTTTCTCTACATCATTAAAAATGAACTCCCCAAAGCACAAATCTGACCACCTCCCTGGAGTGTTCCCTGCTGCCTATAGATTACAATCCTAAGCTCTTAGCTGGAAGATTCCTTGTCTATCTCTTGAGGCTGGATTAGACTGCCAGGCTCCAGGTTCATGTCTCCAAGTACTGACTGTGCCTCTCCAGTGGGAAAATTCTGTGGCTGCCTCAAACTGAATGTGGCAAAAATCGATCATGGTCTATTTCATTCAAAACCTACTCTTCCTCATGCAGTCATGATTCTGGCATGGAGTTCTTCTTAGTCAATCAAGCCAGAAATTTGGGAGTCATTATCAGTACCTCCCTTGCCATCATTTCCTAGATTAAGTCCCTAAAAGGAAAAACTCTCTAACCCCTCAGTCCAGGTTGGGTCTCCCTAGCTCAGCAGGATTACTGAGACAGCCATCATGACCCATTGTTTTACCCATCACAGCCATCATGACCTCCCTAGATGACTGTATTAGTTTGCTAGGGCTGCCATAACAAAGTACCACAGACTGGGTGGGTTAAACAACAGAAATGTGTTTTCTCACAGTTCTGGAAGCCCGAGATAAAGTGTCGACCAGAGTTGTTTTTTTCCGAGGCCCCTCTCCTTGGCTTGTTGATGGCTGTCTTCTCCCTAGATCTCCATGTGGTCATTTTTCTGTGCATGTCTATGTCCTAATCTCTTCTTCTAAGAACACCAGTCATATTGTATTTAGGTCCACCCATATAACTACTTCACCATACTTAACCTCTTTAGTAACCCTATCTCCAAATACATTGACATTCTGAGGTAAATTAAAGATCAGGACTTCAACGTATGAATTCCAGGGAGGCACAATGCATCCCATAGCAATGACAAATCTGAGAACATCACTCTCTTTAGTAGCTCCTCGAAGCTGCGGGATAAAATCAGAATACTGTAGGTGAGTTTGCAAGACCCTTTGTGATTTGATGATCATGCACCCATCTTGGTGGGACTATTTCCTCTCGCCTTATCATTCTGAATTAAAGCTCTGCCATTGTAATGTGGGGTTTCATAACTCCTTGCCTTGACAAGCAGCTTTCCTCTAACAAAAGGTTCATTTGCTCTTTCTTTTTTAAACAGCTTATTGAGGTGTAATGGACACACAATACACTACATTGTTTCAAGTGCACAATATAAAAAGTTTTGACATGCATACATACTTGTGAATCCATCACCATAATCCAGGTAATGAACATAGGCATCAGTTCAAAAAGTTTCCTCTTGCCCCTTTATAATTCTCCCCACCTTCCCTGTCTCCCATCCCTGAACAAATTGTGGGTTGCCTTTCTGTCATTACAGGTTAGTTTGCATGTCTGGTGAGTAACTGACAGTTACTCACTGTCAGTTACTTTTGTAGAATTTTATATCAATAGAGTCCTAAGGCATGTGCTCTTTTCTTTCTGGCTTCTTTCACTTTGCATGATTATTTTGAGATTTATCCATGTTGTTATGGGTATCAACAATTCATTCCTTTTATTGCTGTACAGCATTCCATTGGATGGATAATAGATACACAATGTGTTAATCCAGTCACTTGTTGATGGACATTTGGGTTATTTTCAGTCTGAGGCTATTATAAATAAAGCTGCTATAGAAATTCATGTAAAGTCTTTATATAGACATAGATCTTGTCAACTGAAGAATCACAAGGTTTATAACTTTGGAGAAGAGAACTTTATTTCTTTTGTTTGTTGTTTGTTTTTTTGAGATGCAGTTTCTCTCTGTCACCAGGCTGGAGTGCAGTGGCACGATCTCAGCTCACTGCAACCTCCACCTCCTGGGTTCAAGCAATTCTCCTGCCTCAGTCTCCTGTGTAGCTGGGATTACAGGCATGCACCACCACACCCAGCTAATTTTTGTATTTTTAGTAGAGACGGGTTTTCACCATGTTGGCCACGATGATCTTGATCTCCTGACCTCATGGCTGTTTCATAGGCTGGGAAATGTAGCCTTTGATAGAAACCAAAAGCAGGCATGTTGAGGAAGGAAAGATGGGATAGGAATTTATGCTGAACAAGTTGGCTGGTTACACATATTCAAAAGGTCATAGGAGGAGCTATGAATATTTACAAAGGGGGGGTGCACATGCGTAGTAAGGAAATATGCGTGCTACATATGTCCCATTTTCACACTGGGGTGGAGACTTAACATTTATATGCATTAAAATTAGGCTTTAAATATCAAAAGGTAAAATGGAGGACACAGAGTCATCCTGTAAACCAGCCAGAACGAGTCCGTGGTCTGTGGTCTCTTATCAGGAAGGAATGCTGCTCGGTGGTTGTGTCAAAACCACAAAAAGCGAGTAGAGTCCAGCAAGTCTTTTGAAAGAGCTGGTGTCTGCTTAGCCCTTGGGAAAGAAAGCCTAATGGTGGTTAGCAAGGGAGAAAGTGTAACAATGCATGTTCAACCTTCTATCCCATCACAACCAGGTATTCAGTTTTTAAGGTTTCTCAGGAGTCTCTTTGGCCAAGAGGGAGTCCATTCAGTTGGTTGGGGGGGCTTAGAATTTTATTTTTATTCCTCAAGCTTTATTTTTCTTAGGTAAATACCTAGAAGTAGAATGGTTGTGTTATATGGTACAGTATTACTTTTGAATAGATCCTGAATAATCAGACATTGAGTTGTAGAAAAAGATGATGCATGTGAACCTCTACGTATAGTTGTTGGATGTTTACATGTGTTTATCATGGAACTAAAACATTTATTCTCTTTTTCTTCATCCTTCCATCAACTGTCCTCTGTGCCCAACCAGTTTCTGCCCTGCTGATTTTCTGCCTTCAGAAACAAAGAAGAATCCAGCTTTTCTTCATGATGCAGGATGTTGTATGTACTTGGAGCCATCCTCAGTCACAGCTGCCCCTTCATGATTCCAAGGTAACTTTATAAGAGACTGCCTTTGCCTCCAAAGGTAGGGACAAGCTCATTGAATATTTATCCTGTGATGGAAGTCAGAAAAACAAATATGCATTAATATTATAACCATCAGCCAGGCGTGGTGGCTCACGCCTATAATCCTAGCACTTTGGGTGGCTGAGGCAGGTGGATTACGAGGTCAGGAGTTCGAGACCAGCCTGATCAACATAGTGAAACCCCGTGTCTACAAAAAATACAAAAATTAGCTGGGTGTGGTGGTGCATGCCTGTAGCCACAGCCACTCGGGAGGTTGAGGCAGGAGAATCGCTTGAACCCAGTAGGTGGAGGTTCCAGTGAGCCAAAATCACGCCACTGCACTCTAGCATGGGCAACAGAGGGAGATGCCATCTCAAAAAATATGTATATTTAAGCATCTCCATATTTCACCACCTTTTCCAGGCAGTTAATATTGATGCTTTAGAGACAGCTCTGGAGTCAGACTGCCTGGATTTGAATCCTGGTTTGTGCCATTCTCTAGATGGAAGCCTTTTCAAGATACTTAACCCCCTATGCCTCAGCTTCCTCATCTGTAAAAGGCAGACGGTGAAATCTCTGAGGATTCAGGGCAAAAGCACAGTGTCTAGCATACAGTAAATTCTTTGAAAATGGTATCCTTATTATTATCCAGTTTCCTCTCAAGCCAAGCCCTCTCATCACTATGGCAACCCATGTAAAAAAGAGATCACAGGTAAGCTCTCCTTTGATGCTCCAAAAGTTTGAAGCACCACCACTATCTTCAGCACTCAGCTTTGAAGATGTCTTGTTAAGCTCTGTTGTTTTGTATCAGTGGGCTACGTGCTCATCTGAAAAATGAATGGAAATAGCACAGGTATTTTTAAGCAATTAGTTGGAGCAATAGAAATGCCCAAAGGAGTGAAAGTAAAATAAAGATATGTCAATGCATGCCCATTCTCTGCCATTTTCCTTGAGATAATGTCAAATATCTAAGAATGTTGGTGAGTAGGGGGAAACGTTGCAGGAAAAATAAAATTTTTCCCTATACGAATCCTGTTTTAGTAATATTGAACCTTGATATGATTAATGCTATGCCCAGGTAATGCTGACTTATTAATATTCCTTAGCAATGGCACCTCTGGGAACCTCACCAAGTTCAATGGTACTAGGAGGTTTTGAAATATCTAGGGCTGAGTGGGGCTGTCTTTCAGGGATAATAATCTTTTTGAGCTCTGTCTGCTCTTTTGTTTCCTGAGCTCTCCACAGTGGGGCCGTAGGCTGCCCCTTCACCCATCTGTTGCCTTGTGCTTCTCGGTGTCGTCTTTTAGTTGTGCAAACAACGCAAGAAAATTTGCCTCCAATACAGACTTCAGAGGCTTGCATTTGCTTTGAGCAATGCGGCAACATTGCTTCTGGAGCTTCTGTTGTATTTTGACATCAAGATTGCTATCTCAATCTCTACTTCTCACTGGGGATTAAGAGAGACAAGGTAGCTGCAAAAGTAACCACTGGTATACCAGCGATACATTGCATATGTATAACAAAGATCAGGTGCTTTATTTTGTTAACAGAAAAACCAAACTCAAAAATATTTTAAAGAGGTTTATTTTGAGTCAATATGAGAAAACACAACCTAAGAAGCCTTGAAAAACTGTGCCCGAGATGGTCAGATTACAGTTTAGTTTTATGCATTTTAAGGAGGCAGGAGTTGCAGACAAAGACATACATCAACAGAGAAAGCATACGTTGGTTTGGCCTGGAAGACAGGATATCTTGAAGCAGAGGCTTGCAGTTATAGGTGGATTCAGAGATTCTTTAATTTGCAGTTGTTTGAAAGAGTTCAGCTTTGTCTAAAGACTTGAAGTCAGTACAAAGGAATGCTTGAATTAAGATAAGGAGGCCTGCTATCTATCATGTGATGGTATAACAGCGTCAGGTTAAAAAGTCAGCCACATTATACTAGACTTAAGAGAAAACAAAACATTTAACAAGATTTTATGGTTTGTAGGGCATGACTTAACCCTTTCCTCTCATGGTCTTAGGTCTTCTTTATAATCTGGTATCTTATTACCACAAAGAGTCTATTCTGTCGGTCTTATGATCTCTATTTTAACATCAATGCTGGTCAGTTGTGCTTAAACTCCACAAAAAGGGGGTTTAATGAGGCATATCCAACCAACCTTCTGGTCATGACTGGGAATTCAGTTTTTAAGGTTTTTCTGGGGACCCCTTGACCAAGAGCGAGGTCTGTTCAGTTGGATGCGGGGCTTAGGATTTTATTTTTAGTTTACAATTTCATTTGAGATGTGCCCCCAAAAAGGAGAAGGTTACAAAAAACTCAAGATAAACATTTTAATGCACTTAATGGACCAATGACTTGGGCCTCTTGACTTTCAGGAAGTCAAGAAGCTGAGAGCTACTGTGGAATAAATTGGGTTTACAGTCAGAGAGAACTGAATTTTAGTTCCAGCCTTAGTTACCCACCAGCATCACTGGGGTGATAGTCTCTCATCCTCAGAATTTCAAGGGAATAGGCTTATGGATGTCAATTACACAGCACGCAAGAAAGCTTGGCACCGTAATCTTCATCCACTGGGGCAAAGTGAGGTTCCCCTCTCCCTTCCTGAGATTCATTTTCCACAGCTCAGATGAGAGGCAGAGCCCAGACAACCCAGAAAGGGAAGAGTCCATGATGGCAGGACTCACACTATGTCCCAGAACCTAGTCCTGCTTGCATAGTAGGCATTTCATAAATACATGATTAAAAAGTACCAGAATCTAGGATCAAGGCAAGATTGTGAATATACTTCACTGTACGTGCCTCATATTTATGGGAGTACTGTACATGAAGTTTTGGGTTTTGTGTTGGTTATTTTTTAGCTGTTTTAGTCCTAATTAAAAATGTGCTTGATAGAAATTCACAGCCTCCCAAACACATCTCACTACCACCGCCCTGTCACCACCCGTTTTGTTAGTCCTTGTTCTCGACAGCCCCTTGTCTGGCTGACATGGGTCCCGCTCAGCCTCCCTCTGTCTCTAACCTGGGTAATTACTTCAGTCCAAGCTGCAGCTCATTAGCTCCCTGCAGGTGTTAACCAAAGCAGACCTGACCTCTTAGGAGTTCATTAGTCAGATGCCAGAGGTAGAACCTGGACTCCAGTTGCTAAGGCCTCCGAGCGCTATAGACTAGAAGTCTCTCTTTGAATAGTTTTATACTGGCATGTTTAAAAGAAAAATAGTAACGACCCATCAGGTCATAACTACCCATCCCTGTAGGATGCCTTCTTGCCAAACTTCACCTTGGCATGATGCTACCCACCTGTATGTAGGAGCCAAGTGAGAAACCACCGCCCCCCCCCCCCAACCCTTTTTTTTTTATTTGAGACGGAGTCTCACTCTGTCACCCAGGCTGGAGTGCAATGAAGCAATCTCGGCTCACTGTAATCTCCGCCTCCCAGGTTCAAGCAATTCTCTGCCTCAACCTCCCAAGTAGCTGGGTTTACAGGTGCCTGCCACTACGCCTGGCTAATTCTTTTTGGATTTTTAGTAGAGACAGGGTTTCACCATTTTGGTCAGGCTGGTCTTGAACTCCTGACCTCGTGATCCACCCGCCTTGGCCTCCCAAAGTGCTGGGATTACAGGCGTGAGCCACCGCACCTGGCCGAGAAATTACCCTTTAATTTGTTTTTGTGTTTGCTCTAAGGCTGTTGGAATGCTCATTATCTTATACAGGGCCCTCCCTCTGAGGAGCCCTTGGAGAAAATTTTGGATTTTAGTATGAGAAAAAGCAGTGCTTCTCCAGAGCAGCTGACAGATGATGACTGCCACAAAGTGCAATGGGAAAGGGGGCAGGTCTTGGAAGAATCGGACCTGGGAATGAATTCCATTTTTACCATGTGATAGCTCTGCAAACGTGGGCCTCTCTTTCATCTGCAAACTTGTAAGATAATACCTAGCTTCCAGGGCTGTTGTGAAGATGAGATGAGATAATCTATGTAGAGGCCTGGTATTTAGTTTGTGATCAGTGAATGGTAGTTGCCAGTGTTGTTTGTTTTTGTAAATGGCTATGCAACTCATGGATATGTCAGAGATCAACATACACCATCTCCAAACAGGAAAGATTGTTGAGGTGAAAGCAACTAAGAAAAGGCAAATGCAGAAAAGCTCTCTGCCCTCCTTCTATTTGACCAAAAGCATGGCATAGAGTTATGAAGACAAATTGTCCCACTCCCCCTCTCAACCAGGGAGAACAAAGGTAAATCACTGAAGATACCTATGACCCTTATTGGCCTGGAGATGGTACCAGAGGAATCTACATTAACAAGCTTTGCGAACTAGCCTGTATGTGCCATCTACTTACCTTCCTGTAGAGACTCAATATTCTTTTTCTTTGTCTTGCCACTTCTCTAAAAACTTACTGTTCTCTGAGGGGTGGGGCTGCCGGCATCTTGGTGGGCTGTCAGCCCGTTGAAATGGAGATCTCTGCCTGCTCCTCCCCTTGGTGTGCTTTGGTTTCTGGAACAGGCCCAGCATGCAGTGAATGTGTGCTGAACGAGCAGATATTGGAGGACACCAGTGCATGTCAGGCAGCACAGGAACGGTTCTCACTCGGAGTACCCCTCCCTCTGCCTGCTGACCAACCCTGCTGGCTCCGCCGTGGCCCTGTCTAACTATGCTGTGCCTGCCTTTTGGGAACTGTGACTATCTTCATTTTACTTATCTGATCTGGAGGACTTACTATACCTCAAACTGTTTATTAATACACAAGAATTAGAGTGGCCTGGGATGATAAGACACTTTGGACACAAGATAAACAAATGAGAACATATGAACTAGGCACCTTTTTCCAATATTCTAAACAAGTTTAATATTTTAATACATGAGTTTTTTTTTCAGATGGAAAAAAAAAACTGGCTTTTTTTTGTTGAAGATGCTATTTAAGCTGGAATTCAAAGACACCTCTCTAAATACTCCTCATTCCCTGGGTATTTCCCATGTCTATGTGA